AAAAAAAAAAAAAAGAAACCAGAAGAAATGAAACATAAAACAAGTCAAGACCACTGAGTCCATTTACAAATGAGCAGATGAAAAATCAGGCAAAACTAACCTATTAGTGACTGCTAATGGGTACAGGGTTTCTTTTAGGGGTGATGAAATGTTCTGAACTTAGATTGTGGCGATGGTGGTACAACTCTGAATAGTCTAAATCTCTATATACTTTAAATGGGTGAATTGTAGGGTATGTACATTATGGAGCAGTAATGATGTTAGACATTAGGACCATGGTTGTGACCAGAAGGGGGCATGAGGAGACTTCCCAGGCATTAACAACGTTCTTTCCTGACTCGGGTGCTGGAGACTTTGGGGAGATATTCACTTTGAAAAATGTATCAGGATACGGTAGTCTTCTTATTTGTACATTTTTCTATATTACACAATTGCTTAAAAATTTACATAAAAAGGAATGTAATCCAGCCCTACCTCAGCCTTGGGAAGTAATCTTTAAAGGCATGAGCCAACCCTCAATAGAGATTTGATGCACGATGTATCTTTCTCTGCCTCAACCCTACCTCTGAGCTCCCACCTATTTTATACCTTGGTTCATCTCCCTTTATACAACTGACAGCCAGCATAAGGTAGTCACCAAACCACGCTGCCAACTATATGTTGTGTGTTGTGGTTATCCTCCCCTTGGGGGATAGTCTCTTCATCTGAAATATAAGAACTGCTGCTTCGCAAGTACTTAGCATTGGAAAGGTTTTATAATCTGCTAAACTTCACACTAACCTTGAACGCTGAGTGTGATCTCTATAGCTCTGTATTTAAAAAACTTTTTAAAAGTAGAGTCCTTCTGGGCACATGCACCCCAATGTTTATAGCAGCAATGTCCACAATAGCCAAACTATGGAAAGAACCTAGATGTCCATCAACAGATGAATAGATAAAAAAGACGTGATACACACACACACACACACACACACACAATGGAATATTATGCAGCCATCAAAAAATGAAATCTTGCCATTTGTAACGACCTGGATGGAACTAGAGGGTATTATGCTAAGTGAAATAAGTCAGTCAGAGAAAGACAATTATCCTATGATCTCACTGACATGAGGAATTTGAGAAACAAGACAGAGGATCATAGGGGAAGGGAGGGAAAAATGAAAAGATGAAACCACAGAGAGAGACAAACCATAAGAGACTCAATCTCAGGAAACAAACTGAGGGTTGCTGGAGTGGAGGGGTGTGGGAGAGATGGGGGTCTGGGTGATGGACACTGGGGAGGGTATGTGCTATGGTGAGCACTGTGAATTGTGTAAGACTGTTGAATCACAGACCTGCACCTCTGAAACAAATAATACATTATATGTTATTTAAAAAAAAAAAAAAAATGGAAGAGGATGGAGGTTTGTTCAGGACTTAAAGAGTTATCAACAATATAGTTATTCCTCAGCACCCAGTTGTGCCAAATCCTCATACCCCACTTTCAGCCGTATCTCCAGAAAGCACAACCTTCACTGTAATAGACCTTTGTAGTGACCCTGAAAGCCAATACCTGTTTGCCTTTACATGGGAAAATCAACAATTTAGGGGTGCCTAGGTGGCTAAAAAAAATAAAAAGTAGAGTCCTTCTGCCCTGAATTCATCTACCAGGTTATTTCCATCCTTAACTCTACTGATAATTGGTGGTCTTAATGGGTGGTTTTCAAACTACTGGTCACAGTGCATTAATGCGTCGTAACCCTGTTTGGAGTCACAGCCAGCATATTCTTAAAAGAAATACAAGAGAAGAGTATGTGAGTGCTTTTGTTTCAATTATATGTGCATTCATGTACGCACGCATTTGTTACTGTTATACTTTGAATTGTGGTCAGAAAGTTTCCAAAGCTACAGCTTTAACTCTCCTGCTTCCCGGGAGGGCAGAACCTCCAAGCCAAGCTCAGACTACAACACTAAAGCTTCCCGATTGTTCCTACGTCTTAAAGGCAGAGCAGTTGGAAAAAAAAAAAAAAAAGGCAGAGCAGTTGGACAGGAAAGGCAATTTGGCAATGACAAACTGTGAGTTCAGAAAGGCACAGAGAGCAGACTGCCCAAATGACTCTTGCCCATCGTGGGAGGAAGCTCAGTGAACACTTCTGAGGTCACGGATCATACTCGAAAGGAAGCTTGAAACTTCTTAGCTGCTCTCCCCGGTGAAAGTATGTATCCAGCCTGAATGCTGTGAGGGAAGGCTGACAGTATTTTCAAAGCCGGTGCTTATAGGCGGGGAGGCGGGACCCCACAAAACCAAGCCGCCTGCTTCAGCAGAGCAATCCCGACCGGCAACGTGAGGGCGGTTAGCTCCAGCAAGCTGTACCAAGGACCCCGGGGTTTAGTACGGGCACAACTGAGTAAGTAATCAAAGCTTTCATAATAAGCTTTTGGTAAATATACAAAACCTTTTTTTTTAAATGAGCACGGCTCCCAGATCTTGAATGGGATCGGCTCACACCACAACTGCCGCCAGCCACACTGCCTTCCCCGAGTTACTCCACACCCCCAGAACTTGTTTTTAAATTTCAAAAGATGTTCAGGATACTGTTAACCATTAAAGTACTAGCGTGTGGTTAGAATTCAGCCAATGGAGCTACTGGGTCTGTGATGAAAACCAGTTGCCATAACAGTGGTCCTGTAGTGACCCTCAGGGGGCTGGTGCTGGCTCCTCACACAGCTGGAAACTCCCACATCAGAAGCCGTGAGGCAGGGCTTGCAGCTCAGGACTCCCAATATGGTCCCATACCATACATTTCTACGGGGTCAAGTCGGCCAGCGAGGGGCTTCATGGGAGCGTACTGGAGAGGCACATCTCCAAGACACTCCGACAAAGGCGATCGCGACACTGCAATTTAACGCCCCCCTTTCACTAAAACTGCCCGAATTCTACCATCTCCTATGTTAATCCTTAAAAGGGGGTGACTGTGTGGCTGAAAAGGAGCCAGTGATAACGAATCCCCAAATTCAAATCTACCAAAGACTCTGGAACACTTTTCTGTTGTCTTTTCTAAACTGCTCACAGAATAAATGACTTTCAAGTGAAAAGACAGTTGTGTTTCTCAAGTATTTACGGGGGTCAAAACCCAGGGCAATCGAAAGTGTGAGAATAGGTCAGGAAATCACCAGCTGGAAGGACTTAACACCAAGAAGCCCTTCTGCTATCAATCCTATTTCCCATTCCTCCCAATTCTCGCTGAGCTCGGAGCAGATCCCTCAGTTCTGTGACTCCTGACAGCTGCCTTCCCAGCTCGGGTCTCTCGGGACCTCCCCTTCTCCTCAGGAGATCGGGACCATCCTCGTTCTCTCTCCCTCAATTGTCTTTGGCCTCAACTTCATTTCCTAATTTTCCCCAAAGACTGAGAGCACAGCCCTGGCTTCCAGGCTGCCACAGGCTCTGTATTGTAATGCTAAAATCTACTGCTTGGTCTTTGCAGTTGGCAAGAACACTCCCAGAAAATACAGGATTACTTGTGAGAGAATACCAGCATTTTATTAAATCTGACTCCAGAAAGAACTCCTCTGGACAGGAGTCTGGGCCGGCAGTAATGAAGAAAGGGAAGAATGGTTAATTTCAGGGCTGTGACTGATTTTTAAAGGATGCCTTTATTATTTTAAAAATAGCTAAAAGCAGAAGTATGTCATATCCGCTGAACTAAAATTTTCATGATGTGGAGAACGCGGGAGGTTACTGTTCTATATAGCCACGTGATTATTTGCAAGTAACAGAAGACCTTTAATTTCAGGGAAATGGAAAGCTTTTCTACGAACCTGCTTCCCTCTACCTAAGCCCCAATGGTTAACATTCACAGGACTATAGAAAGTTACCATTTTTTTTTTTAAACCTTCTACCCATACAGATCAATTTTAGAAGGTATTGGTGTCACCTGATACAGTTTCTTCTTTATGTGGAGTATTAACTAACAGCAAATGGAAAGACAACATGAAAACAACGGACTGCCATGCTGTGTGGTCTGATTGTGAATAAAGAGAAGTAATTTGGGGAGTATTCATTCAACAGTATTTATCAACAAGTCCAACACAACAAGATTACGTAACTCAAGTCTAGACTAGCGTCCTATCTTACGAAAGTCTCTCTCTCATTTGCCCTAGAGTAAGCTCTCCTAAGTCCTAACTAATTTAATCATAAGAAATGGTTTCCAAAGTGGGGAGTGGGGTAGGGAATAAGCCTGATTCAATTCAGGACGGCGGGCTCCAGCCACCCTGTGCAGAAACCCAGCAGAAATGATCCGACAGGCATGGCCATACACAGGTGACCACAAGAGGCTCTCGAGCCTTCCCAAAGGGGCCAGAATAGGTGACCGTGGAGCTATGAGAAGCTACCCCCACCTACGACTCAGCGGACTCTAGCTCCCACCACGTCCTCTCACCCTTTCAACTCCCAACTGGCTGAAATCGGGAGCAGTCACCGAGCCCAGACACAGTCCCTGCTTGGTAACCGCTCCTACCCCTACGGCTGTCGCTGCCACCCCCCCCAACGTTGGTGTTACCCTGACTTGAGCACACACCGCCCCTCGGCACAGGGCTCAGGAACGCTACTGCAGTAACACTCTAGGAACGAGGACACAAGAACCAGTACCCACTGAGCTCTCATTTGCCAGGCAGCGCACTAAGCATTTTATTTGACTTGACCACCACAGCGGCATGCTGAGGTGTACACCCCAGGGCCTCGCGACCGTTTGCAGACGGGGCAAAAAGGAGGCAGAGACAGGCTGAGTGACACCCAGGGTCTCGCACTTGTAGGGGGAGAGCTGGGACCTCCAGCTCGGCAGTGCTGACTCGGGAGCACCCCCCTACTGCTACCCGACACTGTCACTCCCCCTGGGCAGGTCAGTTCCATTCACCCACCTTCCTCTATTAACCGAGGCCTCTCAACTTGCAGAGCGCAGCGATTCGTCACCATTATACCATTATCTGCACAGGACACTGTGTGAGATTCGGAAGTCCTCATGTGGGCCAACTCAGACGCATGGCCTACTGTGTCAGGCAGTGACCAGAGTCCCGGCGCCTTGTTCTATGCGCGGTGGCACAGGGCCGGGAGCGGCGGTCCACCGCGGGCCCTGCAACAAGGAGACTCACAGGCAGTCCTAGTCTGGGAAGAACCAGTGGTGTCACAATGTCCCCATCCTTGGCTGGCTTGACAATCCACTGCCCCACCTTGAACCTTGAGGCACTGGGCTTCTTAATTTAAACTTCTGTTGGTATAATATACCATCTATTTTGAACTGCGATTTCCTGTTAATTCTTCTGTCCCAAAGAGATGACAAATACTAAAATTTACACTCCTTAGAAGGTAAAAGCAAGCCTTGAAATGCAAGAAAAACAACACTTGAGTTAACAGTAATAACATTTACATTCCAATTCTACTGCAAGATGGCAAAAGTTCAGCAACATTTAAGGACTATAAAGTTTCATTAAATGGTTCCATATTTTTGTTGAAATATATAAAAATATTTTTTATAAATGCTACATAAAAGACAATGTGAAAATTACCGTATTTTACAGAAAGAAATTAAGTCCATCCTCAAATGTTCCTTTTCAATCCTCTAAGTGCCAGCTTGTAGGTCTAGAGGGAAGACGTCATTTTAGACCCTCTTCTGGGACAGTTGTCTACACATTTAAATTCGAGGAAAAGTCTTTAGAACTTAATTTTTTGACTATTTAAAGTAAATGACACAAAAATCAGTTTGTAGCCAGATGTGACAGGAGAGCCAACACCGTTTCTTAAAACCGAGAGAGCAGCATTAGGTAGAACTCAAACACAGGAAACCGCATTATTCTTCCCTCGTTCCTGTTGGGAATTCCAGAAGTCCGTACAGCACGTCCACTTAAGTTTCTCGTTACTTAAGACACCATACCCAGATTTCACAGTGCGTTGTACTCCACACATTTTGATGGATCTGTAGGAAAGTGCTTCTGGCAAATGGTCATTAACCTCTTCAATCCCTAAGAAAATAAGAATAAAGACTGGTTATGAATAGCTGAACTATTCTGAATTGCCCTTCGCTTTACTCCTGGGTTTACCAATGTCCCCATGGGAACGTAGCAGTCCCCAGCAACACCACTCAGATGTACATGGAGAGACATGTTTATTCACATGCACCCAAGGTACATACAACACAGAGCGAAACTGTCCACAGTAACAACAAAAGTACTGGCAACAACCCAAATGTCCACAAGAAGAGAATATATGAATAAGCTTTAATATGCTCACCAGTGGAACATTCTACAGCAGTAAACGTGAATTAACTAGAACGCCAGCAGGTTCCAACAGAGAGTGAAGCCCCAAGTGCCCCGCTTGTGCACCCACGCTAGGTACCCAGACAGCAGCTCTCCTGCGTATCTAGCAAGTGCCGCTTATGTACCATCTTTGCGAGAACTGAGAAAAGAGCCACTCAAATCATCTTCTGTGTTCATGGGGGAATTCTGTTGATGAGGGATTCTGGTTGAGAACAACTGATACACATGCATCTTAGAAACAATGTTGAATGTAAAAAGCAAGTGGCAAAGGCTACATTAAGTATAATGTCATTTTAATAAAACTGAAAATCAACTTGAAAGAGAATATATGTCTTATAAATACACACATAATGTGGTAGAATTACTTTTGAAAAAGCAAGGCAATGACAAATTCAGACTTAACAGTTACTTCTGGGGTAGAGGAGGAAACAGTCAAGGATCTTCAGAATGTTCTAGTTCTTAAGCTGGAACAGGTCTCTAGATAGGTTTTTTGTTTCTTTCCTAACTTACATATTACATGTATTCTTTTGTATTACCAAATATTACATGATAAAAACATTCTAATGTAATCATAAGAACACAATACAACATCCCAAACCTAACCTGGCTAATCCTTCAGAATTTAGTCGAAGGATCCCTGTACTGCCTCTGTTCTGTACCTTTGGCATCTGTCACCAGACTCTGATTCTTTTCAGGCAACTACGACACACACAAATTCGGATCTCACAAATTTCAACTGCTTTTATTTCTTCTGTAGTTTGGCCAGTTCTTGGCCAATCTGTAACTTTGTAGCAACTTTTTAAATTGTTGACAAGAACTGTCATTATTAGAAGTCATTCGGTCTCTTTCAGCTCACCCTTCACAGATCCTTCTGTGATCTTTCAACATCCTTAGTTGGCATTTGGCTTTTAGTTACCCATCTTGGCTTTCTCATCCACCACTGAGCAAACATACCTCTAAGTCATTATCCAAATTCACGAACGAGAGAGGGACAAGAGTAGAAACCTGCAGCATGCCACTACAGATCTCTCCAGAACAATTCTGGGAAAAGCTCTGCCAGCAGCAGTGAATCCTATCAACTCTTCCGTCTACCAGTCTACAAACTTCTTTGTTTACAAGGAGACACTCTGCCCAGTGTTTTATTGCAATCTATATATAAACCACCACCACCAAGCATAGTGGCACTTAATTTTAATGACTCACAAGGCATTATTCGGCACAAATCAGTTTAAGGTTTCTCACCTTGGGTTTGCAAAAACTGAAGCCACCCAGTCCCTACCATAGTAAAGAGAACAATGAAATCCTATCACAGGCCAAAGGCTGACTATGGTCAGAGCTCTACTGGATACTGAATATGAAAATGTATACAGCACACTGCCTGCTACTTAACTAGGATTCTCTCAGGATTCATTATCTTTCCTCAAAATGATACAGTGAAATAGCATCAGCTCTTTAAACAAGAAAGAGCTTCATGACCTAGCAGGAAAAGCAGTGTGTGGCTATCATTATACAAGGCAATAACAGAAGGGCGTATCTGGAAGTCTGAGGAAGGGCAGAACGCAGCCTGAAAAGGCACACTGATATAATGGGGACCTAAATCATCGTCAAGCATTTAGAACTCTTATTCCGTAATCACCTAAGTAGGCAAACAACGCTTACACTCAGGGAAATCACCAAAAGCAAAACAAAACCACCACCAAAAAAGTCCCTGCAAAACCTCTTTGGTGTCACAGTTAACTAAACACAAATACACATCCCTTCCAATATAAACTGAACTATAATCTAACACATTCGACATCCGAGGGTCATGATTTTCAAACATCTTAAAGTCCTTCATAGATTCGAAGAGTGTCCACATTCTGCTACTTAAGAAGTAGGAGTGTGGAGGAAGGTTAGGTTTCAGCTGATTTCCAAGACCTCTGCAGGCAGTGCAAAGAGAGACTGTGTCCTTCGCCTTGCTCCTCATTCACGTGTTCTCGGGGCCGGCCCGAGGATGAAGACCCTTCCCTCTCACAGTCCCACTTCTCCTTCTGGGAGTTCTAACCATGTGTATGCAGACATGTGATCTGTAGCCATGGGGATATATGTGATGGCACTGGCCTGGCACCTGACATTTTCTGAACGAAGAGGTGAGAAGGAAGAGGGCTGGCTGAGAAAGCCCGCCCCGACGAAACGCAAGCAGCCTTAGCTGGCCGCAACACAGCAAGAATGATTATGAGCGAATACAAGGCCAACTGGTGTTCAGACTGCTGGAGGCGGTTTTCCCTGTAAGAAATGGAATCTTGGCTGTTGGATCCTCATAGGAGATATCTGTGATGCTTACTTAACCTCACTAAGCAGATTCTAGGATTTAAAAATAAATACCAGTATCCTGTCTGAAATCTTAGTTGCCAAAAGGTTGTGAAATTCAACAGTCTGAGTCCTAAATAGTTACCAGGAAACACTATGATTCATTTTTGCAGTAAGGACTCCTAGTACGCAGCCCAAGTTTTTCAAGGGGCGTAATGTCAGGACAGCATATGGTTATTTTCCAGATGGAAACAAATCTTTTCAATTAGATCTCCCGGGATTTCTGTTTCAAATTGCTTGAGGATGCTTAAGCCAGTAAGACAATGAGCTGCTTGGCTTAGCTTACTGCAAACAGCTTCTTAAAACTGGTGCTACTTTTAAATGTAATTTTTATTCCCATGAAAGCAGTACATTTATTTAAGAAATCTTTATTCAGGGGCTACAGTGTGCCAAGCACTGTTCTAGGCTGAGAATACAGGGAACAGAGCAGACAAAAATCCCCACACTCATTGAGATTATCTTCTAATGACAGAACACAGCCAAGAACCAAAAGGAGTACGTAGCACACCTAATGTTAGATGATAAATGCTATGGCAAAAAATACAGCAGGGAAGGGGTGTGTGTGGACATGGGGAGTGGCCAGCAGAGCTCTGAGCAAGAGAGCATCATAATCGGATTCATATTTTAACTGCATCGCTCTGGGTGCTGTGCAGATACTGAAGAGGGGCAAGGATAGGGGGCGCCTGGCTGGCTCAGTCAGTAGAGCATGCGACTCTTGATCTCGGGGTTCTAAGTTCAAGCCCCACGTTGGGTGTAGAGATTACTTAAAAATAAAATCTTAAGGGGC